ATTGAGGCAAGACCCTCCACCAGCAAAAAGATTACGACTCGCTGAAGGCTCAGATGATGGTTAGCATTTTTTAGCAATAAAGTATTTTTTAATTAAGGTATGTACATTGTTTTTTTAGACATAATGCTATTGCACACTTAATAGACTACAGTATAGTGTAAACATAACTTTTATATGCACTGGGAAACCAAAAAATTCGTGTGACTGGCTTTATTGCGATATTCGCTTTATTGCGGTGGTCTGGAACCGAACGCACAATATCTCCGAGGTATGCCTGTAGTTAAAAAATAAAGTCTTACTATTGTATATTGTATGTGGGGGAGTGTGTGTGTGTGGCGAGGTGCGTATGTGTGTGGGTGTGGGGTTTATGGGGGGGCTGTGGAGGGGTGTGGAGGGCAGGATGTGGGCAGCGGTGTGATTATGGGTCTGTGGGGTGGTGTGAAGGAGGTGTGGGTTTGGGAAGTGTGCCCCCCACATGGTGCACAGCCCCTGCCAGTGGCGGCAGCAGCAGCAGCAGCAGCAGCAGCAGCAGCAAGCCCTTAGGGTGCTCATGGTCCATGCAAGTGGAGCCCCCTGGCAGCACATGGCTGTGGCCACTTTTGTGAGCTGCACATGGTGGCAAGGAGTAGGACCAGACTGCCCCATCTCCATTGAGTGGGGCTCCCTGCATCTCCAGGGACTTGGGTAGAGTCGCGTGCCGCAGGGGTGGGAGCCCCATGTGATGAAGCTAGCTGCTTGGCCCCGCTCCCAGGTGCCACGTGCAGCTCCCGGGACTCCGCTTGGAAGCAGGAAGCGCGGCCAAGCCAGCCTGGCTCCATCATGTGGGGCTCCACGCTGCTTCCAGTGGAGTCCCAGGAGCACCAGGTGGTGGCACAGACTGCTGGCTCCATTGCACAGGGCTTCTCCCTGGTGGTGTGCAAATCCTGGGAGCTGCATGAGACACGGGGAGCCCTGTGCAATGGAAACAGGCTGACCTGGGCTCCATGCTAATGCTGCCTCACTGGGCTCAGGCCTGGGACTCCATTCTCCCACTCAGGTGCAGCTTCTCCTCACCCCCAATGCTTCTCTACCTGATGCCCAGAGTGCTGCAGCACAGACATGAGGAACTGAGTAGTTCCCCTGGCAGTGGCAGTAGTGGCCTTGCCCAGAAACTGTGCACTGGCTGGGGCCAGGGCCTGGCCTCTGCCCCGCATGAGGGTGGGAGCACAGCATGTTGCCCTGGCTGGAGTTGGTGAGGCTCAGGCCTCATGTGAGTGTAGCAGCAGCAGCAGCTGTGGGCCAAGTGGGATATATTTAATTGGTGGGCACCTGCCTGCTGGCCAGATAAAAATTGCCTGGCAGCAGCCCACAAGTCATATTTTGCCCGTCCCTGGTTTAACTGATATAATTAGAGGAGGTTAAGACTTAAAAAAAAAAAAATTTACATTCCTACTTCCCACCTCCTTTCTTCCTCAGCCACAACATAAGTGGTATTTTCCTAGTTTTCTCTACCTTCCTATAACAGGGTGTGCTATTCACTTTCAACCTGCTGTTTATCCCCCCTCACCAGCTTTCAGTATGTGAAGCCAGCAGATCAGCTCCAGTCTTGTATCATCTTGTACCATCTGGACAATTCTTGTCACTGGGACCATGTGTTTGCCACCAGGGAGCTCCTCTGGTGGGTGAAGCAGAAAACACCATGGGGACCCAGTTTCCTTAGCTTGTAATGGCCATACTGGCCTACCACTGTGGTCCTCTGGCTCCAGGGTGGGAAAATGGGCTGCAGAGCTCTTCTGACATTTCCAGAAGTTACATTTACCTTCTCCACCCTGCCAGCCTAGCTCGCACTGTTTTGTTTTATTGGGCACTTGCCCCATCTCCCTTTGTACTCTGTGTCTTTTCTTTCCTACTTAAAGTAGGTTTTATTTTCATCCTGTATTTATTACCCGGAACGACACAGATGCCTGGATTGGAAAGGACCGCAGGGGTCACCTAGTCCAACCTCAGCCCAGAGGTGAGGCGCGTAAACTCCAGGGGACAGCACTTGGATGGGGTGGTCTGGATGGGGCTGATGCTGCCCGAGGCGTGGGCTGGCCTGGCTCAGCCCTACTTCTCCATGCCCCTAATGACACCTCCCCAGCTCTTCTGGAAAACGTCCAGCGAGGGAGGTGGCAGCACTTCCCCCGGCAACTCGTGCCCTCCTCCCCAGCCTGTTTACGCAGGCCCGAGTGTCCCGTGTCCTCCATGGGGGGCGATGATCACCCCCCTGGCCGCAGCTCCGGTCGGGGCCGGCTCCTGGTTTTGGCGCCAAGCGGAAGGCGGCGCCGCTGCGGCCGGACC